AAAAAGAAAAAAGAAAAAAGAACGAACGAACGAACGAACGAACGAACGAACGAAAGAAAGAAAGAAAAAAAGAAAGTTAAGAAAGAAAGAAAAAATTAAAATAATTAATAGAGAAACATTTGTCAGATATATAATTTCGCCATTTTAAGCAGCTCAAATAAAATATTGCTGTACTCTTGTTATTGCTGTTGTTCATAATCATGATGACTGAGGCCCGTGACGTTTCGGTGATACTCATCAACTGCATCCTTTTGAATTTCAATCAGGGCTTACGAAAACATACCCAGATTAGTAAAGTCAGACTAGTCATTCATGATTGTTTTCATTGCAGGGTAAAAAAACTCACACCGACTATACTGGCCGATAGCGCGTTTACTGAACCCCTGAGCTAGGGAAATTCCACTCACAGCTACGTACCGATTTGAAGTTTTTCTCCAACTAGGCCAAACAAATTTTACCTGCTTTTTTATATTTAAATGAAAGAAAATAACAGTAAAATTTGGAAGTTCGAAACTTCTATGGTTCCTTAATTAGAATCTGGTTGCCATGTTAAATACGGACTCTGAGGTCCGGGGTTCGAATCCCAGCTACCCCATGTGAGCTGAGTTGGTTGGTTCTCTTCCTGACTCCGAGGGTTTTTCCGGTCCTCCGGTTTTTCCTCCCTCCTCCTCTCAAATCAACCCTAACTAATTCAAACTGATTAGAGCTGTGCTCCGAGGTCATGTACATGGACAGTATAGCAGCTAACAGCGAGGCGCCTTCACATGCTTTCAGTTTGACCCCGTTGAGCTGCGCCACTGCTGTACTTGCGGTGGTGATAAGCGATGACAAGTTTTGTGCGTGTGTGTGTGTTTGTGTGTGTGTTTGTGTGTGTGTGTGCGCGCGCTCACGCCCTTGGGCTCATAAGATCCGTTACGTTAAAAGTAGACAGTTCTTCCTGTTCTGCATTAGACTGAGGTTGGCTCCACTAAATAGCCACATCAAGTGTTTTTGCGATATAGGCTTAAGGAGTTCAAAGACACAGTAAAGAAAACGTGATCAGAAAATTGTTGAGCTGCCACATCTTATCTCGTAAAGATAACACTGATTGATCTATGTCTCCTCGTTTTCTCATCTGATAGGGTTAGTGGGAGACCGCCTGTCGCGTTTATAGCTAAAGATTTTAACTGCTTTGTCTCTGATTAGCTGGCTAAAGGTAACTCCACCTGATTTCTGCAAGTTTGTCAAACGTTTTGGCCAGACTTAAATCGTGAATATGGAAGAGTTATAAAATAATTCTTATTTATGTTGTTTTCTTTCCTCATTGAAATTGTAACATTTTCCACATTTCGTGCTTTCGTCAACAGCGATTTTGGATTATTTTGAGTGAATATCGAATAGGCTGAAATTAAAGGCTTATATCCTTTGGATTAAGTTTATCGTATCGAATGAAGTGGCCAAAGTAGCTTTCAAAGAAAAGAAAAAGCCACGCTTGGTCATACCATTGATGCCGTGACGTCAAAGGTCGTCATATTAGTTGCGTTGCTATGGAAACCAATGAAAACTATGTCACTAGACGGTCTTTGGTTCTTCGCCAGAGACACGTTCAGCAGTTTTGATTCCCTTTAAGGAATAGGTCTTTAGGCTTTTGTCAAAGATAATCCCACGCATAAAATGGAAATCTCAGTCTTCTAGAGAAATTACAGAAGTATGATCTATATATGAAGACAGTCTGCCCGGCGCGCGCTCACGTTGACCGTTTCGCGTTATTGTATATTGAATCAATGTGTCAAAACTGAACGAATCACAGCCATTATGAACTGCTATTTATATAGTTATTGACAAAAAACTGCCTATTCATTAACATACTTTGAAAGCAAACATCAGTATTTTACGATTTTACGATCGTCTCCGCACTAAGTGTCGTATGCTCAAGATTAACAGGCGGAAATAGATTAAGATTCAATCATCTCTCATTACGGATGCGGTTGTGGGTTGTAGAAAGGTCTAGGAAATGAAATTATGGTTTAGTGTTTCATGGATGGTTGCTAACTAGGTCTATGAGTAAAATTGTAGCTGGAGTCATGACCGATGTGTGAACTTGAGTACATGTTGGTCTAATGCGACGACGATGTAATATCGATATACTATACTCTTGGATGGGTAGGTAAAGCAGTTGGGAATCATTACGCCGACATTCCGAGATTTACAGAGCCTCATGCAATTTCGTAATTTATTTATCTGAGAATTTCTATACACCACTGACAAAGGTCTAGATCACGATGGTCGATTCTAGCTTCTCTAGGCTGTCATTGAAAAGACCTGAAAGCCTCAAACGATTGGGAATATATGAGGAGAAGAGAGAATGGTCAAGCGAGACAGACCTGAACCATCTTCCACCACTGTCTCCTGTTTCACCAAGTCCTACATCACCACGAAAAGATCAATGCCGTGGACTTCACAACCCAAGACCGCCAACCCCAAGTCCTAACAACAGAAGAGGCGAAAACTTCTTCTCTGTAAAGCCTCGTATAGGACCATYGTCACCTTGTAACTCTACGAACAGGCTTTCTTTGAACCTTGATCTAAGTCCACTGAGGGAGAGTAGCGATACTCTAGATCGGCGGTTCAAACGAGACAACTCGTTTGAGAAACCTGACATTACAGATAGTCCAAGGCTATGTGTGCGAAGTCTACCCACTAGCCCTGTGTTAACCAGGGATTCTAGACCACGTCGACCCATGAGACGCATTTATAGCGACTCTGAACGAGGCAATGAATTTTCTAAAGAAGATAGGATTATTCGATGGATTCAAGATGTGCAGCAAAAAAGGAAAGACAATAGTGTATGCATTGATGCTGAAGATTTGAGTGAGTTTTCATCCACAGCTTCGACAAGTGATTCGAGTGAACTTGAACTGGGAAGCAGCCCTAGCCTACCCGCTATTCAAGAGCATTCGGTCTATAGCTCTCACCAAAATCTAAGCTAGCATTACTTCAATTGACTACGTATTCAAATACTTTACAGATGTTTGATTTGTGATATGACAAGTTTGGGATTCTTAATAGATAAGACGACGATTCGATGGGTCAAGATGTGAAAATGGATCCTGAAGATTTGATAACAAATATCTGACAAGGTCGAATATTCAGAGTTAGTGAAGACGACATCTACCGATGAAGACAATATTAGGTTCCTAATAATGTTGCTGAATGGACTTTGGCCACAAAGAACTGACTAAAGACTGTACACTTTGCGGTTTTCATAGTGGGGGGGATGACAAATGAGAAAACAACAGCTGGCTTCACTGAAAGTCTAACTGGCATTCAAACTAACTTATTGCAAACCAGAGCTTCATTTTAGTCCTACTAGAGAGTGCCAATGTGGTTACTATAGTTAACTGATTATTGGCCAAATAAATAGTAGTTGTAACTCACAAATAACCTAAAATTAGTGGTTAACACTTAACTTATATTTCATTATTTTTAGGTTTTAATATTATGGCCAGCGCCCGTACTGACAATTGTGTATCCCCATTGGCACCCTCCTACTACTAGGAGCTATTTATGTAGATATGTATATACTTTGTCTTCCTTCCGAAATATAAAGCAGTTTCATTAACATTTTAAGTTGTGTTTACTTGAAAACGGAGTTGATCGATGACTGACAGTAAAGGCTTAATGATGATGACTAGTAGCTGCAGCCGGTTTTGAATAGAACTGAAATACCAATYGTTGGACTCCAAAAAAGCATAATCTTTCATTCCTTTACCATTTGCTCGTAACTAGTTTTCATAATTTTTAGTATTGTTTATTTTTATTCATTTTTCTGGACAAACAAAATTCCTTTGATTTGTTATCAGGCATAAACTTCTAGTGCGTCTATTTTGAAAGGCTTTTGAATACACTGCTGTGTTTGCGATGATCTACGTAACTTTGGAATCCAAGTCCTGACTTCTGCCACCATAAGACGTACCACTAAAATCGCGTGGCGTGCAGACGTTCATATAAAGGAAGACAATAAAGTACAGCCCAATACTCTTTGATTTAATTTTGATTAAACGACATTAAAGCGTGAAGGATCAAGGCAGTATTGCCGAATTAATCTAACTATATTAACACCTTTTGTGATAATAACAGTAACATGTTTGAAGTGTTGATCTTGCACAAAGCCCGTAAAATGCCAAATGCAAATGAGCACTAGCCAGTCATCTTGACCTAGGAAATCACGCCACCTAAGTGCCGATAACGACTTAATTAATCAGTATAGCCTTTGTTTGGAAAACGCTTTGGCATTCGCAAGGACTTGGTATATATCCCAAGGTCAATTGGTTCGATCCATAATGATCAGCAAATATATATAGAAACACAGCTATTTGTAGAATTTGCTGCTGTTGACATGGCAAAACCTTTAGCTCGTTTCTACAACTGAAAAAGCTATCCGTTTGCTGAATTCGATAGACGGAATTGACTTTGACTCTGCATTTGGTTCCATTGATGGAACTTAAAAGAAAGCAGGCGTACAGTCCACAAAATCACTGGCGTGAGTGATCCCATTCGTTTCTTAATTTGCAATGGCGATTGAATGGATGGCCATTGACACGGATGTTTCTATTGATGACACTTTAACTTTACTAGGGGCGACTTAGTGTCTGTATCATATMTTTTAAGCTCATGATTCTAAATTACTTGCAAAATAATTAGATTAACTCGAAGGCAACCGTTTTTCACCGTGACGTCACCGCTATCGAAAAATGTTATTTTTGAGCCTTGCAACTTTTACAATGAAATGTATGGAGGCAGACAAACATTTAATGTTTTTAACTAATCTCGATAGTTTACTTACGATCTTCCAGAAACTCAGTTCATATAGTTTTACTAAAACTTATCTGTTTGACATTTTTGAATAACCCCTTTTTCAGATTAAACGAAATTTCTCTACAGCGTGACGTCATAACCTTAGCATTGGAGCAAATGTAGTAAATTTTCTAGTTTGGGAAATAAAATCTCTTTTCATTCAAAAACATTAATATTGAATTGTACTGACTACGGCATATTGACTTTATATTGACTCCAAAACCTAATTAGCTTAGGCCAAAATTCATTTCTCTTTCTCATAAAGTTTCAAATCCTCCCTGACTTTAAATGTTGTATTAAATCAATATGTTGAAGCTCTTATCAAACATGATAAAAGCTTTTATATATATTATGGACGTCTAAGCTTAACGGAGACTGTGAAATGTTACTTGTTGTGCGTAATGGAGACGGTGTTTTTGTTGTGTCCAACTAAGTCAGGACCCCTACGAGTAAAATTCTTTCTATGGATAATCTCGGCTAAGTTTGACCTCGTCCTATGGCGCTTTTGCACCGTACGTAATCCGGATGGTGAAAGAATTCGTGATGATGTGGCGATAGTACCGCCATGTAAAGGCTTTATTTTCTTGGAGTCAGTTGGACCACTGGACCTAGACTGCATTCGTTTAGAGGGCCTCTATGTGGAGTGACCGAGGGCCGTCCGACTAGTGAAGTACCCCTATAGCCATCACACCCTCCGCTACGCAGACTAATAAGCAAATCCTGTCGGCATCAAGAATTTGTTTGGAAACCCAACCACACAGACTTACTACGACCTACCGCATAGATTGCATGTATTGGTTAAATATTCCCTGCTGACAGCCAACCTTTCTCCCCCGAGGGGTTGGGGTGGGGGAGGAGTTGTAGTGTTCCACTGCCTATCACTTTCCAGGGAGATCAAACAGAAGAACTATCGAGCCTACCAGCATATTAATTAAATTTTACAAAATTGTCAACTCCACAGAGCATTTTATTTTGGTAGACTGGTCCGGAAGCAGATCGGAAGCAGGTAACGGAAACAGGGTAGGCAATATAAAGTTCAAACTATTCTCAGAGGTACTCATGGGAATAACTTAGAACAGCATGAGAATACGAATGATATTCTAGTGGGGAATAGTTGTAAAAAATCTAAAGATAAAAAGATAAAGATAGACATGGTTTTAGCCGAGCCGGGCTTCATTATCATTCTTTCCACCCGCAGTATACAATAAAACCAATATTGACATGTTTAGCGAGCGATGGGGGTGGGGTAACAACAGGAGTCACACAAATTTAAAATTCTTAAAAGGGGTGGGCTGTCTTATAGTAAATTTCTCTTGCATGTGGTCTCTGCCTCAATTAAAAATAATATTTATCCCAGGTCCCTTATTTCCCGCTAATTACGCTATCCCGCGGCAAATATGAACGAAAGATCGTGCGAGACGTTTTCTTTTACTATGCACCGACGACGTTTATATAATAAACAATTGTTTTAAAAAGGCGCTCTGATCAGATACAGAGCAATATGGTCATCGTTGGTCTCTCTCGCAGCCGACTATATAGCAGTCATCCTGAATTACGGTCGGCGCCAGATCCTCCCGAAATTTATAACCGACACATGGCGGATGAGCCCTATTAAGGTTTCATTCATTCACGTGACAGCAGCAATATTTATCTCTAGTGAGTGTGTTCACTGATCAAGTTGCCATATAGTGTTGACGCAGTTGATACTTTCCAAGAGGAGTTTGCAACATCATCCTAAGGAAATCAAAATTTTATCACTAACGTTAATAAAGTTTACTGAAACATTTCATAGTGAACATCTTTCGAAATCCCTAATGACTTGTACTGAATTTTTGGAAATCCTATAATCGGAAGTAGTTAAAAGGCTTTTCTTCTAGATATTTACGAATGACTTCGCGTCCGGAATAGGAAAGAATTGACCTCAAAGTGGATGATAACTAGTAGAGAACTAGTGTAGACTGCGTCGGTGTTTCTAAATAAAACAGTAGGAATTTATCCATATGTTCCTACTGACCTCAAAGTGGTTTACTCAGTGAACTGTACGAAGACTTTAGTTAAATGAACACTCACCTCGGAATGGGAGAGGAGTTCTTCCATGTTGTCACAAATCTTATCAAAAGTGGGTCTTTTGTTGGGATCCATTTGCCAACAATTCAGCATAACGTCATAACTGTTACAAAAAGGATCACGATTTACTAACACAGTTCCACTGCAAAAAAATCAAGTGAAATGTGGTTCACAGTTCATTTATCCATCTACTTACACGCCCTGTATGCATCGGCCTGGTCTTGCCAGTCTCTGGCCTTTCTTTAAGTAGTCAATCAGTTCACGCATCCGGAGACCTACATAGGGAAGTTTGCCTGCAAATATAACCAAATACCAAATAGGCTACACTAAAGGAAAGTGGCTGGAGGAGAAGAAAGGRAAAAAATGGCTTGGCTGGATATCAAAGGAGGAGTAGGGGTAGTGCACTCGCATCCTCAACTCTGGGGTCTCGTGTTTGATTTTCAGACTTGGCATCTTAAGGATTGTGAGATGGTTTGCTAGATTTTTCTCTTAGGGTTTTYCCAATTCGATTTGTGAATTATTAACCGTGCCTTGACTTTAATCAGCAGAGGCTAGCTATTTCAGGACGTCGTCGGCAAAGGAAAGAGGTGCCGGAATGGGCCAATAAAATGAATAATGCTAAACTATYGGACCCAGTGAATGGAATTTCGATCTGCTAGTAATATAATGAAATGAAAAAAATATGTTACCTCCAGATTCAATCTCCCAAAGTACAACCCCATAAGACCATCTATATAAAAGAAGAAGAAAAAAAATAAAAAAATCGATTGCAAAAAGACTGCATGATGTTATGTTTTTTCATTAGGAAATAAAAATAAATAACATCTTTATTTTTGTCTGAAAAGTATTTATGACTGATGTTTTAATGCACAGGACACTTACACGTCGCCTTTTATAGTGAACATCATTTGCTCTGTTGCTTCAGGTGACATCCATCGGATTGGGAGTTTGCCCTGGAAATTGTTAAGGAATTAACTAATGTACAAGAACTCTCGACAATAAAGTAATGGGTGGCATGGGTGGGGTAGTGGTTTACCGCTCACTTCTCACCACTGTGGGTTCGAGCCCTGGCTCAGACTGGATCATATGTGAGGTGAGTTTTCTTGTTGTGTTGTTCTCTCCCTTGCCACGAGGGTTTTCTCCGGGATCTCCGGTTTCCTCCCTAGCTCCGTAAAAAGCAACATGTGAGTTGAGTGTTGTATGTTGTAAATATAGAATGTAGTGGTAGTGCGTGCGGAGGGAATGAACCTCACGGAAGAGCCCCGCATGGGGAGTGGTGGTTGTAAAATATAATACATAATAATTCAATTTAAGGTTAGCTTTTTTGGAATATCGTTTGTTACCTTCGATTGTTTTTCGTAGAATCCACGCTCGTACACATCACGAGACATCCCGAAATCCGCAATCTTTGCTCTGTGGTCAGCGGTGAGTAGAACATTTCTTGCAGCAAGATCGCGATGAACGCACTGAGTAAAAGAATAGCGTGGTCGTCGAATATAATATATACAGGTAATTGTCAAGCGGCCTTTATACAGAGGTTATACGCAAATCAACAGCATTTGAAATAAAGCTGAAGGGGCATGAGGAAGTTGCCCAGGACCGGGTTCGGTTATCTAAACTACTTTTCTAATGAGGAATGAGGAATGAGGAATGAGGAAGGAGGAATGAAAAATTTGGAAAGCAGCCAAGAGTTAACTAGAAGGATATCTCACCTTGACATGTGCCAGGTGT